TACTTACTTGCTTACTTACGTACTTACTTACATACATACATACCCTACATACAGATCAGACAGACAGACAGACAGTCAACACACGCGATGAGATCATGCGAACAAACACATTGTGCAGAGAACGGTACCAACAACCGCTCATGACCGTTGGGGCGAGATTATTCTTCCAATATGCGGTCTGTCATGCAGCATAAGGCCTGATTCTAACGGAGCCAGTCAACGGTGCCACGATCTGATTCTGCGGACACGAATGACATGAGGAACGAGGAACTGGAAGGCACGAACACAGCGACACTGATTTGTGCACTCACCGCCAACATGTACGCTGCTTTCTGCTATGAAGAGTTGCGAGCAAGGCGCCAGGCGACAGAGTGGACAACGAAGTTTTCGGCCCACCCACTCCAGCAGACACTCCTTCACTGGCGAGCCGCCCGCAGGCCCAAACATGAAGTTCAGAATCTGCGCCCCATCTGAGCCAGCATAAGCTTTCAATGCTCACCTCTTGCAGGGATGCTTCAGAAAGCCCCTGAGACAGGTCCTCGTGGAAACGGTGGGAACAAGGGAGCTCTCCTTAGCCGTGTGGTCACCCGGCGCCTTTACATCTCAAAATCGCAACCCGACATGCCGCAACACTCCACGAAGAGCAACCTTTTAAGGCATCCTTGACATGGCTTGGGCTTATCCACCACAAAGACCGGAGCAAAACACACACACACACACAGAGAGCGAGCAGCACGACAGTTTCGCTGCATGGTCCGTTTGCTAGGCTTTGGAAATTTGGGGGCTTCGACTTCTGTCGACTCCTTTGAGGCCCGCAGGGTGGTCTCTTCTTGGGGACCCGATCTCCCTCGGAACACCTACTCAGAGGCAGGAGTTTCGAAGCCTTTCTCCCCCGCAGGCTTGGGTGGAAGAACTTACATCTTCCTGATACGGCTTGTCAGTTGTTCTTATTCCGGTTATGTTGCTGTGGCTGTCGCAACTGGTACTGCTGTTCCGTCATTACCTGTGCTCCTGTGACTTGCTGCTCTGACTGCGTGCTAATGCTGTTGCTCGTGCTTTTGTGTGTCCATTATAGCACTTCTACTGCTGGTACCCTTACATTTGTAATACTGCTGCAGATGGCTATTTACCCAAATTTACCAAATCACAACCATTCCTACTGCCATAAGCCTGGATGCGCCATGTCCCCAGCAGTGCACCGTCACTGCCAAGACAAATTGGACATTCCTTGCGCCAAGTCACACCAGGCGATCAATAGAAAAGGATCGCAACACTACGAGCACCGGCACAAGCAATTTCTGGCCAGCATACCTAACATGAACTCGAACTATGGATTATAGCTACACAGGGTCTACATAGCAGCTACATGCCATAGGCCATAACTGGTCCGCTGCAACATCTGTACACATGTCTATGTGCCTACTGTGTACATATTACCTATACGGCCATACATCTTGTTTCAGTATCGTATGTGTTTCTTTGCTTACAGATAAGCATCCCCGCAGATATTTGCAGAAAAGCAAAAACATGTGATCTGGTGCGTCAGATGGGCAGCCAGGCAGGTAGATGCACAGTCCGGATTCCCGCACCTGCACTCACCTGAGGCCTGAGAGCCCTCACAGCACATCACTGAGATGTGCTGCACATCCATCGCAAAGCAGTCCCAATCTAAAACTTACCCTTTCAATGGAGCTTGCCGATGATAAGGACGTCCCACTATCCCGAAGCATGTCTTTGGAGGCAAGAGGCGGTTTCAGGGGAGACCTCGGGGGGCTGGTCGTCTCTGATGGCCTCGATCACCTCAAGAGACGGACATAGGTTTCAGGGTTTGACAGGGTGTGGGCCAGTGCGAGACAAGTGGTGAAGACTTCGTCTCTAAGGCATCCAGGCGGGCCGGTCTCCAAGCAAACTACGAGACTGCCTTCTGTGTCGAGGGTCTCCTCTCTTACGTGCCACATGCTCTTTATCAGTCATGTGAGGGACAGCTGTCAGTCACGGGCCCCTCTTATATAAGCAGGCCTCTGTCACAGCAGACCCAGAGGCGCCCCAGCGCGCGTCGATGGCGCGGATCGCAGGAAAGATCGTGGCAGCACAGAGGCCCGCAATGATCAGCAACTTACACGGACAGTGGCTCTGCTCTTCGCAAAAAGCAAACAAAAGGGGATCCTGCGGCTGCGGCTTAGCCAAGGTGCTCCCACCAGACACACCAGGCCTTTTGCCCCAACTTCGTCCACAAACTGCCAGAGGGAAGGTGCCTCTGCAAGTAGCTGGGTAGCTCTAGCAAGATCGTGTCTAGTGGAGCTTGCAATCTTCTGGACCGCCCTGCACACCAGCATGCTGGCCTCGTTTTTGCAGCTGGCGGGCGTCAGTGCACCTGTCGCTGCTTTCTCTAAACTTGAGTTTGTCGAACTGCCCGGGCTGCTCTCGCTCTTCGGATTTTGCATCATGGCGCTGCCAAGGGACGAACCAAGGTGCCTGTGGCCATTGCTAGAATGCCCAGCGGCAGTGCCAAGGCCATGGAGGTGGTCAGAGGCAGCAACGTAGAGGCCTGAAAAGGAGTTTGGTTTCACGCCGTGCCACGGGTCTCGTTTGATCACCGCATGCGGCACTTTCACGGCGTTTGGGTTGCGGGTGGGCCATGTTGATGATGTTTGGAGCTTGGCCGTCCGGGGATCTCCATCTACTCTGCCTGGATGGGTTGGAAGACGGGGTGGGCGAGCAGATTTGTTTTGCTTTGGGTTGCGACGCAGTGTGCGGACCCGACGACTTGTCACATCCGGGTTGATGCAAAGTTGCTCTTCCCGAGGAAGACCGTATCTGCTCTTCGACTTACCACCATATCTCGAAGATCACTACAAAGGAGATTGACTTGAGGAAGCCCAAGGCTGTTATGACCCGCTGCGTCATACCAAATTTGTTCATGTCATCATGCTTCGGATGATTTCGGCGGCTGGCACAAGCACTTAGTGATACTCCTTCTACTCGTAACAGCTCTGGACTGTCACAAGATGCTCTCACCGCTTGGGGCCAGCTGTGGCCAGCTCCAATGAAGGTTGGGTTTAGGGTTTCGGGTTTAGGACTTAGTTCCTTCCGAGAACGTCCAGAAATCCATGCAGCTTGGAGGCGAGGTAGGCGCTTAGCCAGTACTTCAGCGGCCGGCAATGTGTCGGAACTTCTGGGCCTACACCGACGACGGCCGACGGCAAACTTCACGAAGCTTCGAACTTTGAGGAGTGCAAGGTAGTAGATCAATTGACCATGCAGTGCATGTAGCCGTTGCTAGTTCTAGGCGATGTCTACCGTCTACCCTCTTCAGGTTCAACAATTACTCACGCTCGCAGCTTGCAGGTTTGGATCAGACGATCCATGACGCTGTTTGGACATCAGCACCACGCCTGCGCCGTACAGGTTCCAACCATCCTTTGACAACTGAGAATCACTCGCCGCACAAAGTTACCGCTTCCACTTAGACCTCTTACATGGCCAACATTGCGAAGTGTGCCGAACAAAGGTCGGCCATGTAAATGGCGTACCGGCCATGCCCCGGATGATCTCGATCACTTCCATCCGTACGCTCGTGCCTACATTGCCTGCCCAAGGCTCCACAGCGCAACATGCCTTGCGGAGTTGAAGACTCAGAATCGGTAGACTCTGTGAAACTCGGTGGCCCCTCCCGCCTGGCTAAGCACGCAAAGAAGGAAGGAGACGAAGCAAACCCCCAGCGGGCAGCGCAGCTGGCGCACCTTCCCCCCAGCGACCGAAGGCTGCAGGCCTTTGCAAAGGCCTCTCGTGAGTCTTTTCCCGTCGGCCTCCCGAATCAACTCCGCCGGTGGCGGACCCTCCGAGAAGTCGTGGCTGTGGGGGAAGGACAAGGCTTGCAGTGCACTCACCTGGCGTGGGCTGGGTTCCCTCTTGGGGGAAGCGCAGCTAACATCGCTGATTCCACGTGCCTCAGGGCCGTCCTGTAGCAGCCGCGAGACCTGGAAACCTGCCAAGCGTCACAGCTGTGGACATTCGCATACAACCAACTCCCTTTCACGCCATCACTCCCAATTGCCAGCGGTCCAAGCCTGCAAGACCGAGAATGAAGTCGGGATCCGACATCGCCGTTAGTGTAAACACAGCATCGGCGGCTGTGGAGGCTCTGTGCCGGGTGATGAGGGGGGAGGGGGGGAAGGGTTAAGGTTCAGATATTATATTTTGGCTTTTGGTGCAGAATCACAAAAGAGTGCGGCTGCTAGTTGGTATCTTGCATGGTGGTGCCGTTGTAGAGTGCCTCGCTTTTCCGCTCGATCCGACGAAATCTGACTCTGAGCATCTTGGGAAAACCGCTGATGGAAATCGAGAGCGACTGCAATGGATGGAAAGCGGAAACAGCTTCAGCGTAGCACAGCATAGCAGCCTGAGGCAGGCTACGGCGGCTACGGGAGACTGCAGGGGTCGACGAAGGACGACCCCAGCCGAGTCTAGCAGAGTCTAGCCAGGCACAGCCACAGGAACAGGAAAGCCGACGGCACAGCCACAGCTTCCGTCCTGACGCGAGATGAGGACCGAGGGGATGTTAATGTTCGAACCTTAGCCATGCTTCTTGGCTGGGCGTGCACCAGCAAGCAGCCAGCCCCGAAGGCTATGGCAGGAAGAGTCAAGACGACAAGCGTTGAGACGTTGCATGCAAGACCTGAGCCTGCTGAGATTAACAGTGCTGTTGCTCGATTCACAATGCCACAGCACTGACTGACCCTGCCATGTTCAACGATGTATCCGCCCGAGAGCTTCAGGAGCTTGGGCTTCGGAGTTCAGCTTCTGGGGCCAAGGGCCGTAGCCGTCATCGGCGACGATGATGTTGCGAATGTCTTGGGAAGTCAGCGTGGAATCCTGCATGACTGCAATCAAAAGGCGTCTCAAGCGAACCAGGGCACTTGGAACGAGAGGGGCACTATGTCTATCATCGCGCACTGCCATGTGACAAGCTCGACCGCGAAGTCCTTCTTGTCTACGATGATCACCGCATGCGCCTGAAGAACAGCGCGGTAAGGACCCAAGTCTTACCGGACAGGCTTTACACCGTCCTTCGAAGAACAAGGAGTCTTGGGAATGCGTGATTCGCAAACCATCGAATAAACTTCGACGCAGGCCTGACATCCAAAACAGGAGTCGCAACAAAAAGAAACGAAACGGCACGTGGAGAATACAGAATACTAACTATAGAAACGGGAGGTTCATGCTGTGACACTACGCTTGTCACAAACGTGGAGTATAGTCGACTCAGGCCTTTAAGTTACAGTACGACACGGACATTCCGAAATGCTGTTAGGGACATTCCGGCTTCGCAAGCAAGGAACGCTGATTCTGATTGCTGAAGGGACACTTTTGCTGGTCGTGTTCCAAGCACGTGATTCAGCACATGACAAACCGAACCAGGGCGATGGCATGCTTGCGCCTCGCTACCTTCACCTGAAGCACTTGATTCTCACAGCACACTTCAGACGCCCGCAGCCCGCAGCCGTGGCATTGCCACTACCCCTGCCTTCGTGACGAAGGAGCAGCCGCCCCGCTCCACAAGCACAATGTTGATGAGCGAGACCTGCTGGAAAGAAGAGATCCGAAGAGCCCACCGGCCTAGCACTGATCCTGGCTATGCCCACATGTAAGACCAGGACTCCAGATGACTCAAGCAACGTGAGGTTGAAAGCGCCTCCTTGTAGCTTTTTCCTTCGGGAGTGTACTCCGAAGGTTCCGGAACGTCGTAATCGCCATCCTGCGTGGGTGAGTGGAGCCACCCCTTGCCCCGTAGACGTGTCACCAACGAGGCCCGTCCGTGCAGTGCAACTCCCCCTTGGAGTCACCATACACGAGCCGCCCTAGGAAGCTGTCGCCGTAAAACCTCGGCAGAGAAAAACGATTCTCAGAGTAGTGCAGCCACACCCGCAAGAATCCGCAAGAACGCCAGGGCTCGGGCGGGGCTCCGAAGGTGGCCGTGGATCCATCGATCCTGCTTTGAGAACGCATGCAACTGCCTCCAAGTGCGAGCGTGTCTGGGCCTGCCGCCAGTTTGCTGGAACTCCTCTTTGAGGTTGCGTGGCGCCACCACCCTCACCTCGCAACGGCGCACTTGTTACGTTGAGACTTGTTCTGGCAGGCGTCGCGAACGCGGACAGCGACCGCCACTGCACAGCTGCACCCGCTGAAGTTTGCCATGAAGCGGCTCAAGAATGGAACGGACAGAAAGGCCCTTTCACAGACCTCAAAAGGCCGACAGGAAGGCGGGCGCTTCATGAAGCCGTGGGCCTGTGCTGTCGCTTGCTGTGGCGCCAGAGGCCTCATGGAAAAAGCCAGCAAAGCCATGCTGATTCTCTACTCTAAGGCATAAGATTGGAGTGTTAGGGAACAGCGCATCAACAGGAGTCTTGCACCTCAGCAGGCAAGACAGCCTTGAAACTTCCTGGCTGTCAGAGGCGAGAGGGCGCTGACAACCGCCGCACGATCAGTTCCGGGCAGGAGCCATGTCAGCGCGGCCAAGAAGCTCACCTTGCCAGCAAGGACAATGAGGAGCAGTTAGGTTCCATCTTGTCTAGACTCCACATCAAGGATTGTTCCCGCAAGACAGCAGTTGGCCCCTTCTTCTTCAAAGCGGGTCCTAGGTTTCTGGCCCAGGAACAGGCAATACGATAGCCTGCTGCTGTAGATTCCCCTTCGATTGCCTCAACATCTCCCTAGAGCCGGCCCGTTGTGCATGCCTTCACGGCGGCCATCTTGGGCAATGGCCGGGAAGGTTCCAAGCAGCGTTGGGGATGAGAAGACGATTTCAGTTAACTCTTGGCAACCAGTGCTGACGGCACTGTGCCGGGGATGAGGGGCTCGGAAGTCAAGATTGGGGCTCGTACTGTGTAGCTGAACATGCTAATAATCCGCTAATAAGTCCGTACGAGTCCAAGCTCGTCACAGCTGTCTGGCTGTCTGCTCAGTTCTGAACTCGGCAGCTGAAGCTAAACCCACAGCAAGATCAGTGCAACTTGGCCACATGCAAAGTGCAGCGATAGGTCTCTGCAGTGGGAGATGCTTACTGCAAATTGAATCTGCAGACTGCACTCCTCTTGGTGCTCATTCTGTAGGCCTGCACCACCCCTCGGCCAGGCTTGGAGCAGTGGGGATACGGACGTGGTGGAGGCAAAGAAGCGCCAGGACAGGGACAAGCCCATTCACTGCGGGTACACCGACAATGGAACACCAGGTCTTTCGTCAAGACATTCTTGAAGCTCCTACAAGGAGAAAGTCTTATCTCGGATAACAGACATCCCAATCCCAGCACACTTTCTGGCGCAGGCATTATCAGCACCACTGCTGATAGCCATTGTTCACTGCGAATATGACCTGCCATGCGTTCGTCATGTGCCTGGAACCTGGGTCTTCATGATACCCTCAGTGCATCGAGCAAGTTGACCAGACTGCAGGTCTCCAAGACTGAACTCATCTGCTGCAAGTGCTCAACTCCACATGAGCATTTCTCTCTCACACACACACACACAATTTGTCGTTTCCCGGGCCTTGCCACCAATACCCATCTCGATGCAGTCCCGATGTGAAACGACCTCTGTCACGCAGAACTGAGATTGGCCCACGGCGCAACCCGCTTTTCAAGGGGGCCAAGGGAAAAGGGCCGCGGATTGCCCCGGAACTTCCTCTTGCTGACAAAGCTGCTCCCACTGGAGTCTGCATAATCCAAAGACCAGTGTTGTACCTCCAGCGACAGCTGCAGGTAAAGAGCATTCACAGCTCTGACCCCGCAAAGGTTTCGCTGGATTTCCTGCGGCTCCGTTGATACTGGTAACTCCTGTTGAGGAGTTCGATACTTTGATGAAGAAAGGAAGCATTACGTGTCGCTGCAAAACATTCGCCAGAAAACGACGACTCACAACAGTCCAGGCCCTGCCCTCCTTTCTTGCTCTCCCCCCTCCGCGCCCAACGCCTGTCCCGTTATCCCACTTATCACTGGTGAGACAACTAGTCCAACTTACCAGACCTCCTAGACTTACTAGACCTCCTACTACTCCTCCTTCTCCTGCTGCTGCTGGCGCTCTACTGCTCCTGCCTTTACGCCTACCACTATTAACTAACCCACTGCTACTACTGCTATTGCTACTACTCCTACTGCCACTGCTACAACGACGACCGCTGCTGCTGCTGCTGCTGCTCGGGGGACCCGGGGGACTGGCACGAGGGACGGTCCTTAAGTAACCTACATGTCCCGTCAGTGTAGCTGCGAACAGTTGAGGCAAGCGCCGCGTGCGGAACTTTAGCTCGTGCGGAAGCAGCCAGATGTCTCGGCCTCAGTCAAGCGCGGCGCAAAGGCGAGGCTGAGGTCGTTCTGGTTCGGGTCCCGGGTGTGAACTTTCCGGGCCGTTCGAAAAGAGCACTACCCTTTTTGGCAGAGCAAGCTGAGAGGCATGGGTTTCCAGAGCCAGAGACATGGAAGAGACCGTCGACACCATGCAAGTCTCAGGAGCCAGCTTGGCTTGGACACGACACGGATGTTTCGTATCACGGGCGCCCCCTGTCACATCACTTGTCACTCCCAGTGAATCGATCGCAGTCCTAACCATTCTTGGTCTAAACTTGAGCCTAGCCTGGTAATGCTTCAGTAAGATCGTTATCCTGTTGCCCTCCACGGTGTAGCCACGGATAAGGCCCTCCTGGTCAGAAGGCATATGCGTAAAAGTTGTGCCTTCGGGTAAGGCTCCAGCATTGGGAAAATTCAGCATGTAGGCCCCCCATGCCACCACACAAGCTGCAGGATGCAAGACAACGGGCTACACCGTGCAGGCGCGCGCTTTTGACACGATCCCAGAGACTCTTGTGCGCTCACGGCACCGCGCATCTTTCCTCGGCATGCCAGTTTGACTGTTGTCTAAAGTGCTTGCTTAATCGAGGCTCAGCCGTGCTTCTGGTGTTGCGAAGGAATGTGGAGACATGAAGGAGCAGCAAGCTGCATGCAAGCTGCTGCACTTGGGCGACGTTCCCATTCTGGCCAAGCCTCATCGACGAGTGCATTCAGCCGCGAGCGTCTCATAGCCACCACACCTAGCAAAAAGAGCTGCGGAAAGGCGTCTTTCTCTGGATTTTTGGGCTGCCGAGGCACTTGGCCGTGTGATCGCAACTTTGGTCGAACTGCGCCGGGTCGTGCTCCAGGTTGCTGTGGACGATCTCGCAGCCATCGGCCTGGGACCCCCGTCTCCGTCACTGATGCTGTTAAGCGGCTCATGAAAGATGGGTCCCTGACTTCGTTGCAGTAGAGGTTGAACAGATTGCAAAAGTTTGTAGAGAAGTCGCACAAGCTCTTGACCTCGACGCGATGCATCTTAAACGATAAGCTAGAGCTCAGCGCCGATGGAGAGACCCTTCAATCCTGCCTGACTCTCCGAGCACGCCAAAACGTGGCAGTCCGACCCGTCCGTCACATACCGAAATCCGAAGAGGTCCGTGAAGGGGCCTGCTTTTGGATTGTACAGACAATCGAGGCCAAGACGTTGCAGCATCGTCAGTTGATAAGATGTTCGCTGTCGGGTTTGTCACGTATCTTGAGTCCCCAGGAACAGTCTACTTCTCAGGCGGGAGCTGACGAACTCGCAAGGCTACTACATGGCTGAGTTGGAAGGTTCCTTGGTCATTGTGCACATGAGAGCCGTGCCTGGGTCTGCAAATGGGCTCGTTGCTCGACTGGCCTGCAAGCGCTCCAAGGACAAGCTGCATGAGCTGCATGCTGCTATGAGTGGGAGATATCTGAACATGAAAAAGCACCGGGACTGGGAAGGAATGGTATTAGGACGGGCCAAGCTGAACCCATCTTGTGCCTTCGTGCAGACGCCAGTCTCAGAGGCCAAGAGGGTGTAGTTACCTCGAGAAAAGGTTTCTGACTTACAGACTTTCAAACCAGAAAACTGGCTGTCGTGAAGATCCAAGCTGCCGGGAAGCTTCTTGCGATCCATGTTCAGGCCAATTCGTGCCTCTATCTCCTGCCAAAACAAAACACCGCAAGGGTTGCACCCTAGGCCCTGCCTTCGCGAGCTTCAGGGCACCCTACTCTTGTAAGGCTATCTTGGTGAAGTCGGAGTCTTCACATGTATGTGTCATGTCAGTGCACCAGATGTAGCATCAACTATGTAGAGGTCTGAGCCGGAAGGCAACCTGCGAAACAGACCCAATAAATCTAGCCATCCTCAGTCCGGAACTGTGCAAAGAAAGAGTGCAGAAATCCTGGAGACGCGCTCCCACGGCTCCTCCTGAACACTGAAGCAGGAGGCTTTGAAGACCAGGCTCTCGGAGCAAGCGGCATGATCCCCCGAAGGCACCTCGGGGCATTTCAGTAGCTCAAGCAGCGGAGTTTCAACAGGTTGTAGTCCTGTAGACTTGTAGGATTTTCTTTGCAGAGCGCCGGTGAGCCCGGGCAGGCAGCATCCGTGAGGCCACAGTCTTCCGGGGTGAAGCTCCGCTTTAGCCCAATCGCCATGGCATGGCCTCACAGAGAGCCCGGCTATCTGCTGCCCGGCTGCGCCCAAATGATCAAACTCGCAGCTTGGCCTGGAAGGCTCCAAGCCAGCAGAGGCAGCGTCCACCTGTCGGCTGGTTCCAACTTCCAGGCGAGTTAGAACCAAATGCCAGATGCGGTGAAGGCATGTAAGGTTTCTCGACACATGAATAGCAATAGAATAATACTAGTAGTCATAGGACTAATAACAACAGTAATGATAATGATACTGATAATCGTAAAAATGTCAATAACAATCTATTAGTAATACGAATAATAGTAACAACAACAACAACAACATTTTCAT